AAAAAAAAAAAAAAAAAGAGACACACTCTGGTTTAAAGAGGTTTGCTTACATGGGATCTGGACCATTCATTGGTCTTGGCACCATGTCCCAGACAGTTTTAAGAATTTTACTTGCATTCTTTCTTCCTTCTTTTCCTCCCCCCCTTCTCCTTCTCCTCCTCTTTTCTTCCTCTTCTCCTCCTCCTGCTCCTGCTGCTACTGCAACTGGGACTTGAACTCAGAGACTCACGCTTCCTCAGCCTGCTTACTAGACTGACACTTTACCTCCAGCTTGGCTTTTGCTGATTATTTTGGGGATGGAGTCACACAGACTTTATCTTCCAGGTTAGCTTTGAACCAGGGTCCTCAGATCTCAGCTTCCTAAATCACTAGGATTACAGGTGTGAGCCGCAGCACTTGGCTACATTCATTCATTTAATTCTATCAGCACTTGGCTACATTCATTCATTTAATTCTATCAGCCTATGATAAGGCGGGCCTTGCTTTTGCCCCAGCTGCTATCAGGGAAAGCTGGGTATAGAGAGCCGCTAACTTCCTCAGGGTTGCTCAGTGGAGAAGCTGGAGTTCAGGAAGCCACCTACCTGGGCCTGGGGAATCCCCTTTCAGACTTACGTGGGTCTACCTGTTCACTCAAGTGGGGCTGTGGAAAGTGCTGGGGGGCATGAGCTATGTAGGATGAACTCCTTGGGAAACAGGCAGGTTTAAAAATCCTAGATTAAGTAAGGCAGTCAAAAGTGGGTGTGAGCTGGACCCTGGTGGCTCACATCTGTAATCCAGCAGGAAAGTCCATGAGACTCTTATCTCCAATTAACCACCAGGAAACCAGAAGTGGCACTGTAGCTCAAGTGGTAGAGTGCTCGCCTTGAGCTGAAGAGCTGAGGGACAGCGCCCAGGCCCAGAGTTCAAGCCCCCACAACCGACAAAAAAAAAAAAGGCGGTGGCTCACACCTGTAATCCTAGCTACTCAGGAGGCTGAGATCTGAGGATTGTGGTCCAAAGTGTGGGCAGGGGGGAAGTTCCTGAGACCCTTATCACCAAAAGGCTGGAAGTGGAGCTATGGCTCAAGTAGTAGAGCACCAGCCTTGAGTGAAAAGGCTGAAGGACAGAGACCACCCTGAGTTCAAGCTCTAGCAGCCCCCCAAAAAATTTTAAAAAAGAGGGGCTGGGAAGGTGGCTCAGTAGTAGAGTGCTTACCTTACATGCATGAAGCCCTAGGTTCGAATCCTCAGTACCACATAACAGAAAAAACTGGAAGTGGCGCTGTGGCTCAAGTGGTAGAGTGCTAGCACAGAGAGGCTCAGGGACAGCACCCAGGCCCCGAGTTCAAGGCCCAGGATTGGCAAAAAGAAAGAAAAAAAAAGAGCAGTCTTGAATTCAAGTCTAGGACCAACACACACACACACACACACACACACATGAGACATCTTTGTGGCCAGCCCTCTCCCTGATTTCCCAGCTGGCTGCGGCCTGGGAGAGACCCAGACACCCTAAAAACGAAAAACCTGAAAATTGGTCCAAAGCAGCAACCTACTGGTCTGGAAATGGTTGCGAGAGGCAGACCTCTGCCCCTCATTACCTCGGGGGTTCTACAATGAATCTGGCACTTGGCCATCAGCCTTCGATTACAACCAGCCGGACAGGTGTGAACCCCTTCTCAAGCAGGATTTGGAGAAGCTCTGCTCCTTTCCCTCCCGGTGACTCTGCTCCCCACTAACCCTGCACCCTGTTGTCTGGATCTTGGGGCTGGGGGTCTCGGGACTGGAGTCGGGGCTGACTACAATGTGCCAGAGGCTCCTGGAACCTTGAGCCCTGGTCTTGGTGCAGGAGGGACACGGTCAGGGGGGACCTGGGCGCCTGGGGCTGTGGCCTTCCGGGCTGCCCTTGAGGGACCTTTGCCCCCACTTGGGACTTTGCCCCCACCAGTGGCTCATGCCTATAATCCTAGCTATTTGGGAGGCTGAAATCTGAGGATCATGGTTTGAAGCCAGCCCAAGCAAGAAAGTCTTTATCTCCAATTAACCACTAGAATACCGGAAGTGGTGCTGTGGTTCAAGTGGTAGAGCGCTAGCCTATGTCCTAGCAATGTCCCTGAGAGGGGCTCTGACTTCCCCCACCATGGGGAGCCCCACCCCGCCTGTAACCCCCTGGTTTTGCTCCTTGCTGTCACCCCTTCCAGCTCTACCCAGCCTTGAGCGCTGGTGATCTGCAGGGGGGGGGAAGGAGAGTTTCTTTGATTCCCTCTCCACCCAGATTTCTTTCTATTCCCTTCTTCTGTTCCATGTAACTTTATTGTTGTTGATTTTTTTTTTTTTTCCGGTCGTGGGGCCTGAACTCTGGGCCTGGGCGCTGTCCCTCAGCTCTTCAGCTCAAGGCTAGCACTCTACCACTTGAGCCACAGCGCCACTTCCGGCTTTTTTCTTTTTGCTTATGTGGTGCTGAGGAATCGAACCCAGGGCCTCAGGCATGCAAGGCAAGCGCTCTACCACTGAGCCACCTTCCCAGCCCCCATGTAACTTTATTGAGATGTAATTCACGGGCTTCAAGCGTGTAGGGAAATGATTTCTAGTATGTCCAGGGTATTCGGTGTGTGAGCACCACCTCAATAGTTATTAATGCATTTACTTATTGTTAATTA